ATTTGCATAAGTTGACACAAGAAGCTACTAAGTAATATTGCGCATTCGACATGTTGGCCAGCGCCTTTAACTGGAAAATCAGTCAATACAGCATTTTGTTCTTCATATTCTTCAGGATTTTCACTAAAATTCTTTACATTTAATCGATTGTCTTGTTAATATGCACGTTTATTCAAATATATAGGTATATCCATTTAAAGTAATTGCAAATTGAATTGCCTGAAAAGAAGAACGAAACGGAAAACTGCAGCTCTTCGATTTTCTATCTTTGGAAAAGCGTAAATGTTCCCTGTTGTACGATAGTTTGACTGTTATGGTTACTGTCTTCCTACCCTTCACTCTGACGTCTGCTGAAATATGTATGAAATCTTACACATTTATTACAAAGGAGCGGCGAAAACAAAAGGCAAGCCAACGGAGCCGGAGCCGGGCACATCTGCATGGATTTCCACAGCTCCTCCAGCCTTCAGCCTTTATTCTCCTGCTCCTCCAGGATCACTGGTCCACGTATAAATTTTATGTACACTTACTTACTTCTGCAAACAATGAAAGCTCCGTGACGTGACTTAGTCCTGGGGCTGGTCAGCTGGAACCGTAGTCTGAAGTCCAGAACCGAGATCCGAGCTGTCTGCCATTGTCCACAACTCCTTCTTTCCCATCAGCCTTCCGTTTCTGGGTCGTTGGCTGCCAAGTGCAACGATTTCGGTTTCCATTGGCATTATGTAGTTTAAGATTTCACCCGAATGGCCATGCATATGTGTACTCTGTGTATTTACATATATTTATTGTTCTTGGTGCTGGGCTAAAGTGAGGCATGTCCTGCGGCCAAAAGAAATTGTAAACATCAACGGTCCTGCGTGTGTGTGTGGGGGACATGTTAGAGCTTTTGTCAGGATAGTCATCCTTACAAATAATTGAAAAGTTCTGGTGACTTTTCGATAACCTTTCGGAGTTGAAAGAAATGCAAAGAAATTCAGGAAAAACTGATATATACTTCTCTTTAGTCTCCATTAGTACACCCAATAAACTTAAGTCATAACTTGCTGTAATTGAGAAATACAATAAATATTAATTTACCTTCCAAACGCTTCTTAATTCAATTCATTTTGGCTAATTAATTAAATCGCATTAAACAAATTTCTGCTACGTTGAGCCCATCACTCATCGTACATGGCCATTAGATAGCTTTAAGCCGCAAATAAGCTTTAAGTAGCCACTCGTAGCAAGTCCCCACTGTGCCCCCATCTGAGCCATGAGTCCCGGTCTGGTTCCGCCCCTAACAACATTGTCAACATCGAACAAATCGCTGCCATCAGTTCTGGGAACATTGTTTAAAGAACATTTTAAAATTCAGCATCAGCAGCAGCAGCAGGAGTGAAGCAAACCACTTTTTGCTGCCGCTGTTGTGGCACGAACATGTCCTTTCTCCTCACGACGTTGGTCCTCTTTTGTATATTATTTCATACGCACGCTTCTTAAGCATGGCAATAAATTGTCGTGCGAAATTTTCATATGCGTCGCCGTGAACCCGAAGGGCCCGAGCCACGCCCTCATCTGACCCCAACCTCCAACAGGATGTCCGCACATCACGCGCCCTTGCGGCTTCCTTGGGACATCGTGGCATTCTTGAAGGCGCTCCTTGTGTTGCGTGCCTGTTGTTTGTTTCGCTTTTTGTAATTTTCAATTTAAGCTACACAACGTGTTGCTTGCCACATGGCTACACTGGGAACTAAAATATTAAGAACTAGCCTTGGAAATTTGTCATGCTTAAAGAGTAACCGCCGAAAAGAAGTCAAGGAAGAAGTAATTTAACGTTAAGGAATTTTTGATAATACTTCTAAGTGTATAGTCCCCTTTTTTTTACCACACTGCCACCACTTTTGGACGCCGCCTTGCGAAGCCATTTAGTGACAAATTAAGTGCCGTCGTATGCGTGTTAATTTCGCAACTCATTAGCAAATGACGCATACGACACGTGTGCCCCGGGGCCAAGCTTAGTTGCAATTTATTAAACGTTTCGGGTACAAATTGATTATTTTGTTCTCGGACTTTATGATCCCTATTACCAGCCCTTCAAGTGTCGATTTACGACTCCGGCGGCAATCGCATTCGCTCCTCTTTTATGGGACAGCCAGCGAATTTATCGCCCACGCCAAGATGACCTCGAAAGGAATACAATGTAGTTACGCCACTTTATGATTGCCACAAATCGCATTATGACTTAATTTTTATGCCGCCGCGTTCATAACATTTATGTAGTGTTAAAAATACTCACATACTTGCCATTCGGCGCGGTACATCAAATATTTAATTATCCGCAATGATCTGTCGCTCTTAACCGCAGATGCAACTTGTTGCCGGGTCACGTTGCCCTGTCACCTGAAAATTCAGAAAATTGCCACCTGCCAGCCTTGCACTTGTCATTGTCACTTGTCTTGCCAGGGGTCTAGGAAGCCCGGGGGTCTAGAGGCCAAAAGGGCCAGATCCCGTCGTTTAATGTGTCTGCCAAAACAGTTGCCGCAGCTGCTGGCTGCTGGCTGCAACTGCAGATGCTGACCGTATTAAGCCATTAACGAAATCCGACCAGCCACAAATTGGACTTCACCTGGCATCTGCAGGCTGCCTGAGGTTTTCCCTGGCCCTCGAAAGTAGTAAGGAGGAAGGAAGGGCTAAAAGCTAGCAATTTACTGTCTTTTGCAGGGAATTTGGGATTTTTTGAAGAACAAATCATATTAATTTTATTATTTTCTAGTCTCTGTTTAAGCTTAAAGTTAAATCTTAAAGTTTTTTTGCTAATTAGCAACTGGGTATCTGTAATACTAATAACTTAAGTTGCTTGTGCTAGTGGTCAGCCTTGTCGCCCCAGTTTACTTCTTGCGGCATCCACATACTGCATGATGGCTTTGCTGCGCAATTACGCAAATTAGCAAAATGGAATTCAATATGCTGGGGCGGCCTGTGGAAGGGTAAGGCGGTCTCTGGACGCACATTATCATTCCCAACTCCTGGAACATGTAATTGCCATTAAATTGAAGTGATTGAATAACCTGCAATCCAGAGATAATAATTTGTAATTAAATGCAACAGAACTTTACTGATAGAAAATGGTTGAAATTTATTCAATTTGGAAAGCTAATTGATTAGTTAGGAACCCTGAATTCAGGGCTTTGTTAGATGGTTACATTTACTATTTCATAACTTCTCATTTGGCTTATGTTGCTAACTTTTTTGCTTGCCATTTATTTGATTTATGTGAGTAACGGCTGTAACTGGGTCGGTTTTCCTTTTTCCTCCATTGTTATGTGGCACAAATTTTCCTATCTCCAACCTTATCACACTGACCGTAATTTATGCTAGGATTGCCTGGTGGGCCAAACAGGTTGGGCTCTTTATGCTTGCCAAGCAAATTGAAAACAAATTGTACTATAAAAATGTAAGCTTTTATTTATGAATTTTTTCTTGATTTTACAAGGGAAGCTCTCGTGGATTAGTAGTAGTAATAATCAATAATTATCGACATCAAATCTGTTGCTGGGTAATTACTAAAAAATATTTATGAATAAAGGACACACCATCCTTATTTTGATGTTTTTGTGCAAGAATCCCTTTTATGTTCTCGAGTTACTAGCCTTTGGTGTAGGGCTTCGAGGCGAATGCCTTAAAAAAGGCAGCGTTGACGGCATAAGAAAAGAAAGTTTAACACTTGCTCATGCCTTCGTTTATTCAAGGTTGGCTTAGGAAAAAATAACAAAAAAAAAAACGTGCTGACCGTCATTTGTTTTCTTGACACTTTTGAAGGCTTCTCAACAAGAGGCGGCTTAGTTATTCTCCTTCTTTTTTTTAAGGGTTCGGAGCCGTCTAAACATTTTCCTATACTCTTCGCTTCTTTGCATAATGCCATTTTCCTGTGGGACCGAAGGGGTTTGTCACTAAATAAGTCGCAAGTTGATATTAATAACATCTCATTATCGCCTCGTTCTAAATTTCAGGGCTCCGATGAAATATGTTCGCATCGTCTTTTTATCATAATGAAGACAAACGATGCCAAGAGATGACCTTCAAAAAATTATGATCCAAGTTCTTAAGTTGTGGCAATTGTAATTGATGAGCTCGGAATTTTCAGATTGGTTAAGAAGCGATTAATAATTGAAAAAGTTTATGCTAACTAATAAAGTTCAGGAATAAAAAAAATGAAAATGAGCAAGTAGGAAAAATTATATTTCTGTAAATTTTCCTTAACAATTTTTACAACCAATTTTTCATGTCAATTTTCCCAATAATGCTTTGTTAGTGAAAATTTTCCAATTGACTGGGATGAAAGGCAATCAGAGTCACAGAGATACAGTGAGAATTCAAGGCACAGACCCAAAGTGTCTTATTCTCGGTTCAGTGACCAGTCGAGATGATTGACTTCATGCAAATTCTCGTTCTCGTTAAGTTCCCTGTCTGGTTGGGAAATTTGCATTTGGCTTGTTTGACCAGTCTGCTTGGCAATAAAACAAAATGGAAATTGTTACCTGCTCGAACATTTCAATTTAATTAATTAGAGTGAAGACAAAGCCAAATAGTCTGCTTTTGTTCCAATATACATATAGTTGTGGCTGCTGTCTTCCTTGGTTCTTAGGCTATTAATGCTTAACCAAATCGAAGTAACAACAAATATGCATTTAGTTTCCCATATAAGCCTTATTCAATCACCCCTTCCACGGTGTGTGGTCCTTTTGGCAATTAAAGTTAGTTAAACTTTCGAAAACCATTGTCTGGGCGAAGTTTAATTTTATCTTCTGAAGCCCGGCAAAGTACTGGTTTTCTTTTCGGATTTGCTGTTGCGGTTTGATTTTAGATTTCCTTGCTGCACTTTACTTAAATAAATGAACAAAAGGAAAGTAATTTTTATTGCCCAGGAAATTCCATAAATTTTCAAGCTGTAACTTTATCGATCTGGGTGGACTATATCTTTTGCAGCGTGTTGACACCACCAGACGCTTGGCCATATTGAATTTATGCACTTAACGATAGAGTCAGCAGACCATATCGGCTGCCATGGAGGAAGCTGTGTCCGCGACTGCAGCGGCAACAGTGCGTATACGCAATTCAATTTGCGATGTCTTCTGGTCTTCGTTGGATTGTCTGTGCGAGAGTGCATAAAAAATGACCGGAAATGAGATTGTTGCGGCTTTAATTTCAACTGAATGAATTAAGAGCAGCAAAATTAATGAAGAGATTTTGGGCGGGCCAAGAAGGAGAAATTCAATCTCTGCAGATTTTAGGTTTATTTTACGAACTAAGCTGGAAAATATATTATAATGGGAGCTTAAAGATGGTTTTTATTACATTTTCTTACTTTTAGGTAACAATCAAATCAAAATTTGTGAGATACACAGAAGTAAATTGGTAACTTGGCTTCACATCGAGGCTGCGGCTGCCGATTCCTCATTTGCCGCTGTGATGGCCTTTTCGATGGTGCCCTTGAGCTTCCTTATGTCAGCATCTAGGTTAACAATGCGTTCATATTTGTTGGCCAACTTGTTGATAATGCCGCCAAGGTGATTCTTGAGGATTGCCTGGAACTCTTCCTCGGTGGGAGCTGTGAAGGGCTGTCCCCTCAGACTGCACTGAAATTCATCCTCGGCCAGCGCTTCGGCCAAATTGTCCTCAGTGTCCTCCTGGTGCTTCCGCAAACGGCTCAATTCGGTATCCAGATCAGAACGATCAACGACCATGGCCTCGAAGGCGGCTATCTTTTGAATTAGTTCCGGATTGAGTACCACGCCCGGATTAATCAGACGGGCGAAGCCCTTTGCCGTTCTGGACATCGTCAGTCAGTGTATATCGACAATTGTTTGGAGTTTGAAAGTCTCTGTTTGAGCAGTAATAGTAAGTTTGTTTCCTAAATCGGAGTAGTTTCTGGTTACCTACTTTTTGTTTTTTTGGAATTTTTATTTTTAAATTTTCTCTGCAGTCTAAAATATTATTTAAGTTTTCGTTTTGGCATTCTTATGCAAATAAAATTTGGCAATCAACAGGGGCTGGATAACAAAAAATGGCTATGGATTTAAATAACAAAAACCGCTGTCCCTTTTATGGTTCACCTTACATACAGAGTGAAGAATATTTGAGAATAAATGTAACTCAGGGCGCGTGTCCTAATTAATAAGACCACCTCGACGCCATCATTGCCATTTGAGCCCAGAAGATTTTCCCTTCCTTTTTTTTACATTTTTTTTTGTTACACGAATTTCCCAGCGGCATTTGGGGAAATGCAAAAAAAACACACGAAGAACACAATGGCCGGAGTGTAGCACAAAAATGATGAAAAGAAACAAAGGAGAATAGAGATATCTCATTATGGACAAAAGCGGGCCAAACGAGTCCGAAATAAGATGAAAAAATTATGCAACCAAAAAGAAAAAAGCCCAGCTGGCCTGTTTATCTCGCCCATCCCATTCCAGTAAATCAGCATCCGCCCCGTTGACCAGTCGCCGAATTTACGAATTTGTTTACAACACTCGGTGTAGAGTTCCCCGCTTTCTTCCCGGGCGAAACACGCGTGCCAAAAATAATCAAAATATAATAAGCAGACTCTTCAAGGCGCTGGCAAATGAGGCATGTAATAATTTTTGCCTTGCCCAACGGCGCTGTCCCCTTCTTCTGGTCATAAGATTTATGGTGGGTAGTTTTGTATTGCGATTATAGGGTAGTAAGGGTATGTTGTTGGGAAAAAACACAGCAAATTAAAGTTCAAGGGATGATATTTTAATGGAAAGTAAGTTTTATAAGCTCCTTCACTTCGCCTCTAGGAGGATTCTCCTAGCATTTATCTCAAAGGTTACTCAACTCCTTGTAGGGTATCCCATGGTCGAGAAGCATCTCTTCTAAGTCCTGCTTCGTCAAATTAAGCAATTTCCAACTCAGTAATGAAAGTTACATTTTTACGAGTAGTTCACAAACAATTCTATCCACTTGGATTTTCTCATTTATTCGTTTCCTGATGGCTTGCGCAGCCTTGATAGGCTTTGCACACTTTTGGGTTATCATCAGTCAGTAAGTAAGCTGGATTACTGAAGGATTTCGTGGGGCTTTCTCTGGCATTTCTCTATTACTCGGCTCTTAGTGGAATACAATGGGAAAGCAACAGCCATAGGCATCTTGCCTACAGTTATGCAAATCGCCTGCGGCTAAATTTGCTTGAGTAACTCCTCAGGCCACAAGGTGGTCAGCTGAATATTGCAAACGGAAGGGTAGGCCAGTCGTCCTTGGGAAATGAGAATGGGAAATGGGAAAATGGTTAAACGTGCACCTTCTAGCTAGCCTTAATTTCCGCTTTATTCGGCAAATATATGCGTTGCCAGGCGAGTGCTTTTTAATAAGTTAGTTGCCCGACATTCACGCTCCTCCATTTTCACCTCAGCGCTCTGTGTGCGCTCGCATAATTAAAAATGTACACACGTGCACTGACATGGAGACCACGTGTTACAGGAGATGAGACAGAGAGAGGAGGTGTCCTGCGGTAAAGGATGATGAGAGTCTGGGAGTCCACACTCCTGCGGACAGGTAATATTTACTCGCCGCCCAGCTGCCTCGCTGAAAGTTAAAATATAGAAACCTTCGCATCATCATTGTTGCCCTGGGCGTATACTAAATAAAGAACAGCGGACTCCGGGAAGATGAAGTCGTCGACTAAGCTGAAGAGCTGATGCGGAAAGTTACAAGCAATTTTTAAAGAAAACTAATGGTTACTCAAGGGTATGTGAAAGGACTGATTAACGAATTTGCTAGTACTCTAAAGAATATGAAGAAAAGAATATTTTTGGTAGATTTTCTATCAACATAAAGATGATAAGTTATACTTTAACCCTTTTTAAACTAATCCAAAGGTTCTTGTTTGCGAATTAGCTTTTCAATAACCATTACTATCTGAAAAGCATTTATATCAACCACATGTTGCCCATCTAATATCAAATTCAACAGGGAAATTCGGTTGGGAAATTAAGTGAAAACAAAAATCACACTAGAGCAAATAGCTAACCCATTTGTTTGACAAATATGTGGGCTCCCCGGATACCGTAATGTTGAGGCTAAAAACCGTGCCTGACCCTCGTCACTGGGAATGCTAAAAACTAGCAAATTTTGCATGCAATGTTCGATATTTTCGCACTGGCTTGATATTGGTTTTATTGATCGATTTCACATCGATGGAATTTTTTTTTTTCCAGGAATTCAGTTTAACTCTTTTTAGTGCTCAATTTGAGAAGCAGCTGATGTTTCAGGGAATTTCTGGCTTAAAATCAATTAGAATCGATTTGCAATAATTGTTTGCATGCTAAAACCATGGCAGATACAAATGCCATTAATTAAATTTAATATCAGCTAGAAGCGTGACAGGCCAATGGGTTTCGGGCGGCTGATTTACCAATTGAAAGTTCATTTCAGCTGTCATTTGGCGGTTAAGTGTGAAAACTCGATTAACACCGGTTAATTGACAGTTTGGAAACTGGTAAATAATTGCGCTTTTCATGATTTTAATTAATCAAATTTGTTAAACAGCTGCTGAAACATTTTTGATTAACACATTTTTTTTGTTTCAGAAATAATGACTCAGTGTGGGTTAAAAAAAAGAGTAATAATTGGTGTTACTCTATGAAATGATTAAAATTAAAACATCTACTCATTGCTCTTAAAGTTGTACTCAAACGGGAACCCTTAAATCTTACCATCCAGCCCCTTTTTATAACCCTTTTCGATTATGCTCGCATATGGCTTCCTACACTGGTTTTGGCTGGCAATTAAATATTTTTGCCGCAGTTTAATTAAATGCATGGCTTATGGCGGCTTAAGAGGGCCATAGAAATGTTTTTGGCAGCTGTCAACTAGGCCACTAAAAGCGCGCATAGACTTTTCATTATTGGTGACGAGCTGGGCTAGGCTAGGCGGGAAACCTTAAAAATGTTGAGTGGCTAACCGTGATGCCATGCCATGCATAGTCCATGGGCGATGAATGGGCGTGGCAGGTCAGCACTTACAGCCGCAGCTGATTGCGCGTGACAAATTTTCAGTCAGCAGTTTGGGCTGTTTGGTATTTTAACGCACTGGGACCCACACACATGGAAAACTAACAAAAGTTGGAAAAAGCTCGCCGCCCATTGCCATAAACGTGAAGCTTAGGCACATCAATTTGGCTCCACTCTGGCCATCCGGCCAAAAACCCAAAACCGAATTTCCCCCCTCAGAGCCAACTCAATTAGCGCTTGCACAAGCTTTTAGCCAAACTCAGTTATTATTGGCAGTGGTGTTGAAATGAAATGTTTGCCCCAAAACTGCAACAAAACGCATTCGAATTAGCAAAGCATTACGCATCGTGAAGTGTGCTCAAATATTAATTATTGAAAATATGCAATTTACCGCTTTTGGCGATTGTTTATTTTACATTTAGGGGTAGGCATGGTAAGCAAATAAAACAAGAATTAACCCATCATGTTGATAGATTGCGGATATTACTAAAATGTCAGCGGAATAACCACAAATAGCCTTTATTTGTTGGCCAAATTTTATTGTCTTTGTAAGCTTGAAATGTCACAGTGACATTTGCATAATCTCTTCTAACTTAAAAACTTAATTCGATCAAAAATGTGACAATAATTATTGGGATTTTCTAACATCAATTTGAAAGGGGAATGGAATTATCTTGACTCATACTTAAATACTGGAAACTAAAGCTTGTTTCTAGTTATTTCTGACAAGCATTCCCTTAAACATCCGATATTAAGGTGAATTTTTGGTATATATCCTGTTTTTTGAATATCGCATTAATCGATTTTCATGCCATTCTCGGCGTCGCTCTTACCCGGCAAGCAGCAGTAGCCTCCAAGACATAAAGCAGAAAACGTGCCTTAAAGTATGCCAGGCATTTTAATTAAAACTCGTTTTTGCCTCTACCCATTTACCGCTTCCTTACGCTCTTCCTCCGAAAAAGTGGTAGCCACCGTTATTCCAGCTTTTGCTTTACCTCAACTTAATGGCAGCTGCTGTCGTGCTTGATTACCCAAGTGCCACGCCTTCGCCCGCTTGCCACCGCCCCTCGCCGTGCAGCTCTTGAAAACTTTTACGCTTGTCATGTGCAACATGTCCAACTATGCCGTATTCCTCCTGCCACTCCTGCTACTCCTCTTCTTCTGGAGTTTCGTCCTGGTCGTTCTACAGCCTAAAGGCAACAAATCCAGCACAATGCACATGTAGCTGCTGAGCGGAAATGAAAAATCAAATAGAACAACTCATAATGGCAAAGGGGTAAGGCTGGCAGAGAATCAGGGTTGCAGATAAGTAAATCGGTTATATTGGCTAAAAGATATCACAATCTCTATAATAGTAAGGTTATCAAGATCGAGATATAAATCTTTAAGAACAAATCTTAACCCTTTTGTTTATAGTTTTCCAGGATGATTACTTGAAGGAGAACTACAACTTTTTTCAAGCCTTTGCAACCCTGAAGAGCAACTCTTCCGCCAGCTGTGGCAATTTTCTTGAATTTTTTTATCCTTTCGAATGCCTGCTCCTTGTTGCTTCTGCATCGTCCACTTGGCAGCGTCGGAATTGTCTGTTATGTGGCACTCAATTACACTTTCGTTGTCACTAAAACATCTTCCTGGGCAGATGGAGGAGATGGCTACGAGAATGGAGAAGAACGAAGAGCTTTGCATACATGTGTGATTGTGGCCCGGCTTTGACACTTGAAGTGGAGAACCTTGCTGAGCTGCGTAGCTATGAGTCTAGTGCGAGGACGGGTATGTGAATGCTTGACATCCAATAAAGATTACCAACGATTGTTAAACACAAAATTGCGCTCAATGATGAGTTATCTTCCCTGCTCCACATCCGCATCTAGA